TATTTTCATTCAAATTGTTCGTGTTTCGCGCGTTATGAAGTGTGGTTGAATCGGGAAGTAACTGGCATGCTTTCATATATTTTTTATATCTGGACCTTTGAATCTTTGTGGAGCATATTATTTACAAATTTATAATTAGTTCAATTAGGAATTGAAAAAATAAAAAATATACCGAAAAAAGGGAAATTCTCGATTGCCGACTTGATAGTTGCCCTGTTAAGAAGGAAAATATTACAGGCCCCATGTTCTTGTTCGACAATACTATAGTTTGATGACTAGCGGGTTTTATCCGCGAAGAACGGAAGTCTATGAACACACGGTTCAACTCGTCCAAAAAAAAAGAACCAAAAAAAAACAAAACAAAAACAAGGAATGCGCAAGAAATAACGGCCCCAAAATCGCGTATCTTTCTTCGCTCAATTAAGAAGATCCCACGTCAACGCGAAACTCCACAACAAAAAAGCCGCAGTTACCTCCGTTTCCAGGACAAGAAAAACATTGGGGACGCGAAGAAAAATGCTTCCCATCGTCGGAATAATTTCAAAGCATTCGTCGAAAATTCCATCAAACTTCAAAATAATCTGACTGCCACATGGACGACGTACGTCGACTCCGACGCATGCGGGTAGAAAATTTCTCTTTCAATTCTCCTCCTCGTCATTTCGTTTTATGAACGATTCGAGTATGCCGTGACTGGCTCTTTCACAGAATTCCAGCGCTAAAATCGTGACTTGCTAATTATTCAAGAAAATTAACAGGATAGGTTCTTAAAATTCATGAACGACTTTCCCCGTTCTCGTCTGGAGTCGTTCAGAAATTAATCAAATATGCTCGTCTTCGCAATCTCGCTGAACCGACAGAGATTTTACCGTCCACTCCCATATTAACGGCAACGCAGGAACGACATAACTTGATACGTTCTTGTTGTAAGAGGATGAGCGTTACGCATGATCCGCACCAAACGGAAAGAAACCCTTCAAATGAGCTCAGCGACAAGACATTGTCGATTTGGTTAAATGCGGAGAGAAATTGAACACGGTTTCCAAATGTGAGTTTGAAAAGGGAAGCAAAAAAGGAGCGAAATAAATCAACTTTTACAGTACAGTACATCACAGTATACAGGTGCTCATTAAGATCGAATGCAGCCGGGATAGAACAATGCATACTCTCGCACAGGTAAACGATTATCAGTGAAGAAGAATCGTTGGAGGTTACAGATTACCTGAGAAACAGATCATAATGAATGGAAGACATTTCTATAATAATAAAAACTTAGCACACATTACCTCACTCGAAGAAACGTCAGCACCATTTGAAAACATTTAAAAGATTGACATAGGAATAATTCAATATAATTATCGACGAATCAATAATTATTTCCCAAATGATAAATTAATTTAATTCGCACGTCTGTTAACGCCAGACCTTTTCAGTGATGGGCTAGGGGGACAGGTCAAGCTTTCATCAAGGTCTCGATTTCGCTTCGGCGAACAGAAGGTTTGATGCCTAGGATGTATAAATCAAATTCCAATATATCTGGTGATACAAATGCCTCTTACACTGCTTAAACGACTCTTAGCATTTATGGACTATCACTATCGTCCCACACGGTAATTAGAGCCAATATAGTTCATATTTGAGCTAATATTTCTGTAGCGTCGAGAGCTTGTGAAGTGCAATAAATACTGTACTTTCTTTCGAACTTTCGCGGGGCCAGCATTTTTATTTTCAGGGTGAACGCATGACTTTCAAGGCAAGGCGCGAAATCGGAGAACATTTATTAGCCGTTCATTTAAATTATAAAATGCGTGAACATCCAAGGAAAATTCCACAGGCTCTAAACGACGCGTTCTTTCACCGGGGAGTTTCCATGTAGGCACAATATAACGCATTTTCTAGAGTGCACAGTCATCGCTGTATCATGACGGTCCCCTTCCATTCCGAAGAGAATCGCGGTCCACGCTCCAACACCGGATCACGCAGGGAGGCAATTAAAAGTGTGCATAATTGCCCACGTCGCGGCCATAAAATTGTCCGTTACTTCTTCTTCCACATCCCCAATGACTGAAGAAAAAATCCGAACCAACGCCGAATAAGGAGTTGCGCACAGGCGAGGAACGCAGCAGCGAGGCCTCAAACGAGAGGCCGCGGCGGACTGAGGTCAACCAGCAGAGCGAGTCCTTGGACGGCCTGATAACCATATGGTCAACTCCGGCGTCGATCCCATAAGGAGGAATTGAGGCACTCAGCCAGAGACTGATGAATCGAACGAAGCGTCGCCGTAAAACACCGGTCATAGGTCACCAGTGGCTTGCGGAACTGCTCAATAATTGCGACAGGGATCGAATTCTTCTCACATTGCGGTGCATACCGGCTTCGTACCGAGGAATTGGTTCGCATTACGCCAACGCAAGCGCGGAAGGGAAATATATATATATATATATATATATGCGAGTCAAGCTCTTGCGCAAACCCCACGGAAACTAGTCCAGAAGACGGAAAGAATAATTCCAGATCCCGATGACCTTCGGGATCATCATCTTCCCCGGGCTAACACATGGTCGTGTACACCCCGTCATATTCATGAATGCATGCCCTATTGGCTTCTCCGTCGAATAATTTTCTGCGTTTATAATTTCTTTCAACCAATGTCATGTCCTCGGATCTATGTGGGCGCTGCGCGGCATCGAACATCTGGAACGCAGACTGCAAATTCAGGGCACGTGGTCATCCAGGAACTATCACACGACCTGATCGCCGCAAATTTCTTACGATCATTCTCGAAAGCTTTCAGACTTCAAAGGCAAGCGATGACGGATGCTATGTTTTCTTTACATCCGTATCTCCATATGGTTCCGTTCGTTAGGCTCAGAAGTCACAATCACAACACGATGTGCTAGGGAACTTGAAGGCCTTCATACGATCGGTAGAAACTCAAGCATACCGTGAATATAGCTGAAACTTCCAATTTTTTTCACTACAGCTCATGTACAGGGTGATTCGCACAGAACCAGATCTTCAAAAGTGTGAATACATTTGGGAGTTCAATATAATCATCGCTTTCAATACTGAAACGCTCAAGGCCGCTTGACGAATCAGTCGAGCAAATCTTCAAGCTTCATTCTCAAACTGGAACATTATACCCTGGAAGAGGGCCCTTGACTTCGGATCCACTTTCTGGATGTATTGTACAGTGATTTCATGCTTACAGATTACATGAAAAATAATTTCCCATAGAAATTAGCACATATTCAATCGCTCAGAATCCGTTTTAACGAAACAGACGGCTATAGGCAAAGCTCGAGAGCGAGCTGGGACCGCTCAACATGCTACTCGGAGAGGACATTCATGGAAGCCGGAGTCAACAGAATGAATGCAATCTCATCGGGAAAAGCTTGTTCATTTGCTATAAATTTCTACCACAGACAAGGATTTCGTTCACTCTTTCTGTATGGACATACAGTTCATCCAAGTTAACTTGGAACGTTCACAAAAATGCACGAATAATAGACAGCTGCACCGCAGTGTTGGGTCATCACGAGTGCGAACAAAGATTTATAATCAAGCTCGTAGACTCGGCTCTAGCGCCATCAAAGAAAATAAATCAAAGGCCAGATAAATGATTAATCCTAGGGATGAATCATCCGCCCACGCACCGAGTCCCCCAAGAATTCCTGCAAATATACACCCACAACTATTCGGTTCAACAACCCCGATGCTATTTCAACGGCCATTCGACTCGTTTTTAAGCCGAGACCGGGTCATTTCAAGGCAGTACTTCGACAGCTGTTGATCCAACACACATGTCTAAATCGAAATCACGAGAATCAAAAAAGCAGCTACAAGCTACATTGATTGATAATACCTCCGGGCGTCTCCAGTAAATGATTCTCACCATACCACTCTCAACTTCTGAAATTATTTAGTAAAAGGCGCAAGAGAATAATTTTTGGGCATGATCTACAAAGTAATCTCAATAACACAAGAACATTATTTTTGAAACTGAATTTTCCAGGAGAAATATAGAATAATTTTCATAAAACGAACTCGCTGGTAATATTGTGACACGCATAACGAAAATTCATGAAATCGATTCCCTTCTCATGGACTTCGGCTAGGAATTCTGATGGAACACGTTGACGCACCATGGGAAATATCAAGCCACATTTATAAGTTTTGTTTTCCATCCATCCTAACCAAAATATAAACAATTGAACAATTATCGAAATGCCCCGCTCCGATATGGGTCAAACGCGCGTTTCTTTTGGTCTTGAAGATTGGCCCGCATGGACTATCGCTAAAATTTCACAAGGGTCACGAAATTGAATCGCTAACGCAGGCTTAGAAAATTTGATTTCCAAAGTATTTTTCGGCCAGATTAAAATATCAGTAGTGAAGTTTGCCGCCAAACGTATGCGCACGGGCACGGAATCATCCTGACATTGCGTTTCACAAAAACCAGACAGAACAGCGTAAACTAAGTACTGAGCTTATCGAGTCGAAACGGATCCACGTCGCAAATTACAGTGGTACTGCATTGACTAGCCATGCGTCAAAAGATTTCGAACCGCACTCAAACGCATCATTCCTCCATCTTCCCAGACTTCGTCAGTACAGTATAAAGATAACCTAGTGTTTCCCAAAACGAACATCTCCCTACACATGACCAGTTGATTATTCCTTCGGAGTTCGGCATAAAATCCAGAGGGAAATCTCCACGTATTCCGACGCCCGCGGCTGAATAGTCTGATAAGTAACGAACAGACCCTGTGACCAGTTTATATTTCACATGCGCCAGGCAATGGAACACGCCCAGTTTCCCCACCTTCCCTGTCTTCGGATAACTTCTTGGAGAACGATCGCTTCGATCAAGAACACAGGTGGGTAGGCAACGGATTGAAGAAATTCGCATGTGTCCACAGTCAGAAAAACAAAAGGAAACCTGATCGAAACTCTTAAAAAGGATCTTTTTCGAGTGCTGAAAGCAACTTGGCGATAATTTATCCTCCCATTCGACATAAGAAACCGTCGAAAGTACCTCCGAAGTACCAGCTGTGCGTATATCCTTCACACGGGACCGGGCGTAACAGAGGAAACGCCCGACATCTGCCGACCAATCGGAGGCTTCCACCACGGTAACCACAGGTGTCACTAGTGTAGCAATATCGAAACGCGGCGCGCCGGATACAAGAGAATCGATGACTCACCTGGAAGTGTAGGATTATCGTCCATATCAACCCAAGCGTCAGCTTTGGATTTCCGTCAACGATGTCCTCAGCTCGGATGTTCACAAGCTTAATCTGCGAATAAACAAAAATCGACGGGAATGCGTTCAGTCCCATTCGACTTATTCGACTACGAAGGAACAGCTGGCCGCAATCCAGAAAGGCAGGGGATACTGCGGGGACCAGCCAGCTCTTTCCAGAAACGACATCTGCTGTCGCAAGCATAAAAAAGTAAGAAAAACTTGGGTACTCTGGGCCATGACTCGTCAAGTTGAAGAAAAACGAGCGTCGAACAGAGAAAAGCTTGAAAAATCGCGCATCTGTGTCGGATAATCTTTCCTAAAAACACTATAATTCAAGTCACACATCGTCAGCATAAGAAAAAAATACTCAAGTGAAACGAACGCACAACAGGCTCTCAATTCATCATGTTAAAATCTACCCACGAATTATGCATTCGGAACGAAAATTCACAGCCTGAATCCATGTGGGATTTACCAATAGGGAAAACACTACGATACGCAGGATTCAAATTCAAACAGAACTCACCTTCTTGTACTTCAGGAAGTCGAGGACAACTTGTACATTTTGAATTGAGTGGAAGCGCGTTTGCCCACGGTCCCTCGGCTGTAGAACAGAGCAATAAAAATATTTCAATTGAAAGGAGGAATATAAAAATAAATTAAAAGGGCACAAGCCTATTTCCCTATTATATCGGAATGATGCCATTATAAAAGCAAGCCAGTCGAGTTCTCATTACTCTGGATTCTCCGCAAAAATTGTTTCCTTTTTTGAATGTGCAGCTCGCTCAACGGCGGAGAACGGAAAAAAAGATGATCCAGAGATGTTTTCATTACCCTATTGACCTCAAATCGTTTCTAATTAACCCCGAATCAGATGGTAGCTCTAAAAGTAACCGAATGATCTCCACGAGCAGAGCATCTCATTGAAATTTCGTTCGGATAGTGAACTGAATAATAGGCAAATCATCAAAAAATGAAAGGACTCTTTCGTGACACCGAAAAGCCAATATGTCACCAAATGGTTTCAAATTTAATGGCTTCAACTCATACCCACGAACATCCTTGGAACTATCTTTTTGGAATGATGCCAATCTCAAAGAATGATTCAGGCAATAGATTTCGACTTTCGTTTTTGATTCAGTTCTTGGTTTCTCGGTGGCTGCGTATTGTATTCCACCTCGTGCAAAAAAAAAAAAGTTATCAGCTAAATGCGTGTGTGCTCCAACATTTCCGCTATGAGGGCCGGATGCAAAAGCTCGAAACACTTCCGAAGAAAGCGTCAAATGAGGCTGCGACTGTTCACATAGTCACAAAAAAGCACGGACGCATTCGAAATTTAACAGAACGAGGAAGTGAACATTTTCATAGAAGCCGAAACGAGATTTCGCTTTGGAATAATCTAAGAACCCCGGAACTGATTTCGGTGCTGATCTTATCGGCGTAAACAAGTACACTCGTGACTGTGACAGCACACAGTCCCTGTTTATACGGTACAGTATTTACTCAACTTCCGACATACGTTCTTCCGAGATGCTCCGGAAAACATACAATTACACCTTATTCCAAACTTGAACAAACCATGATAGATTTTTCATTCTTTCTACTTCAGCATCTCTCCTTTTCCACCACTCGCAAATTGAGCATGCCTTCAGAAAAACAAGTTTATCATAAAAGTGAAAAGGGCCCGCAATGAGCGCTGACAACGAAACATTGGTTCCGTTCAAAACCAGGTTGAGGTGCACTGACTACTTCCGAGAAACAATAGACGAAGAACCAAAACGTTTAAATACGTGATGTTATCTGTAAACGCAAAGCTTTCGTTTCGAGGCACACAAGAGAGTAACCGCGTATGCGTCTCGGTATGAAGAGCGAAATTCCAAATAATCAAACTTCGCTGGAATAAGCAATTACAGTACTATACAATTACTATATAGTACATTATTATCCAATTCTTCATCAAAAGCACTCAGGATGAAAAACAGGTGAAGTAACTTATTAATTAAGCATTAATGCTCTCTTTGCGTCAGCATTAATGCTCCGCTTAAATACGTGTTCATTTACAGGCGTAATAAAAAGCAGCACATGATGATGACGAGGAATGCCATCGTGTATATATCTACCCCTTAAAGAACGGGGCTCGAAGGAGGAGGCCGTGAGAAGATAACGAGATGAATAATGCCAAGCAGAGATTTGTCGAAGACAAAAACCTCAATCTCGAGTGGAAAGAAAGATTACCAGTCAAAAGACACCATCGAAATCCCGACAAAGCCCAATTAACATAGTGTAAACGCGCCTGCTCTCCTATCGGACCTGTCGCGGCGAAACAAGTTCATTCTACATGACGTTCAAGTTGATTAAGCAATAGGAGAGCTAGATGGGAATCGGGAATACGGATAGCGGTTTCAAATCCAATAACTTACAAAACTTTCTCCTGAAAGGACCTCCACGAGCGAGATGAGATTGTGTCCATCCTGGAGGTCTTCGAAAAGATCCCGGACCTCCCGTCGAACCTGCAGAAAAATTGAAACATGGCTACGTTAGCAAAAGCCAAATTCTCATATCGTCGAAGGAAGTCTACTTGAGTCAGCAAGACTTGAAAGCCAAAGATATCAACGTTCAAAACGCGAAAAGAAGTTCGAAGATTTGGCGGGGCGCATGCAAACAGAAAGAGAGCTCAGGAACGTGCAAAAACTGCACCGTGTTAACGCGAATCTCCGGCGGCGACGATGAGCAAGGCAAACGTGATGAATGCTTGGTTTGTTCTCACGACCATCCCGTTACTGTCATGCGATGATGCCCCGCAGAACCCAAGAACGCGAACTCATCGCGCTTCATATTCCGCATAATGAAGAACCCGTTACTGGTAGAGATGAATGCGAGAAACGCACCAATCTTTAGTCTCTTTTTTTTACTAAGCCTGAGAAAGAAAGCTCAGAAAAATCTTGAGCTCGCTCTTCCGTCTTCTGACAAGCGATTCAAACGCTTCTAAAACTTCGGTCCCTTTCGAACGAAAGTCCAGTGAACTACATACTTAAAGAGTCTTCCAGAGAATTTCAGGAAGTGAACTTTATTGCATCAAGAACCACATAATCTGGAAGGCGGTCAGCTACAAGAGACCAGATTCTTTTTCTTGCCATTCCACCACAGCTGCAATAATGAAGTCCCGCCCATCAATCATGTTTCAAACAAGAGCAGGCGTGGGAAGGTCCAAGACTTGAACGAATTTTCAATTGGGGATTGTAACGCCCTTCTCTTGAGTAAGAATGTCTCGATTAATTACATGCAAACTCGTTTCGTTCTGTCGACATATAAAATTTAACGCTCAAAAATAACTCCGATGATTCGATTCCTCTCCACGTTTTCTTTTTCATGTGCAAAAACTATCATTGGCTGTACTGTACAGTATTTCAAATTTTAAAAGTTCTTGCACAACTGTTAAACGCAAGGTTTCTAAAAATTACCTCTGCAATGAAGAAGTCGTCAGCTATTCCGCCAATTTTTTACTTTGTCCATTACAGTCATAAATTGTTTCGATAGGGGAACATGTCACCAGCATTTCCCTCAGATTATGCAAGGAGTCATTCATTCATCCCGAGTTCCGATTGCTCATTGGTTCGTCATGTTGATTGGGTTCCGAGTGGAATTTAAAAAAAAAATGCAGGACCTATACATATGAAATGTTTCCTCCGTCCAGAAATTCAACGAATACCCACCAATTTAGCTGCGATCCTACATGTGCATCGCCTACAATATCAATACACACAAAAATTCTGACCCCTCCACAGCACAGTAGGTTTTTTGCCATTCCCATTCAAAGGAGTCGCGGAGGGATTTTTCTTCGAATAAACTTGCTGATGACTTAAATTTAGCTTTTTCGGAATCGGGGGCTTCCGGAAACCCCCACTTCAGGAATGAATGGATGGATGAATGAATGAATAGATAAGAGAGAGAAAGTAAAGAGAAAACATCTTTAATCTAGCAATACGAGTATTGAACTACAGAGAGAAGCATTCCCATCCAGACGCAAAGATTGTGGGTACGTAAGCGAACGATCAACGTACAGTACCTGTATGGAATATCGGAAGCACAGTACAGAGTCAATAATATGAAGCTACCAACAAAATGCTGGTACAGTATTTCGAAGATGGTGACCAAGAATTATACTACAGAGGGGAAACTCTTCGATCAATCGTCCAAGAAGCAGAAAACCCGCATCATCTACACATGCATACAAGAAGTGTGGAGAGCATGACATTAGTGGTTAAATGCTCACGGCGTAGGCTCCTTGTGAGTTAAGACTGGCTGTACTGCTGGACCGCGACCGAACACGGCCGATGGCTCCAAGAGATACCGACGCCGGGATGGCCCCAAACGACGGCGACGCTGCAGGTGATGGACTCAGACTCAGCGCGTCCGCGTTGCCGCCCAGCGTCAGCCAACACGAGTAAGAGTGCTAAAATCACGAAACCCCACCATCAGCCACCCGTTAAGTGAGACGCCTCGCCAGAGCAATAGCTCCATTTAGCAAGCAGACTGTAGGCATTCCCGAGGGGAACTTCCAATCATCTCTCTAAAGAAGGGAGCGGGGCCCTTGCGGGTCAACGGCACCGCAATGCCGGATAGAATTACATCTTCGCCCTTTTTCCCTGGGCTCGAAGCGCCAAGAATATGACATGGCCACCTCGTCAAGAGCCCGGATCATAGCTTCGGCTTCTTCGTTTTATATTGCCCTGCGCTTCACGCGGAACATGACCGCTGCAGCCGAATGGATGCTTGCTGAGACAACTATTATTCAGTACTCCCCACACAAACTTCCTTCGTGCGCATCTCATTTCATGCACCTTAATGGGGCCAGTGTATTTGCTCACGTATTCAAATAAGAACCCAACAAACTGCGTTACCCTCATTACTTCTACCATACTATGGCGCTTCCCGCTTTAATGTTAATTTACGACAAGGCATACGAGCATTCTCCCTGCTCGAGAAGGTCCCTGCCAATAGCATCTTGAATAGGGCACAAAAGGTGCACGAAAGCAACGTCCCTCGCGGGCCACATGCAGAAAAACTAACCTGATGAACCATCCAGTGCTGCATTTGGATAGAAAGAAAAACAGAAAATGTAGATGATAAAAATTTCAGGAACAAATTCATCGACAGAATATGGAAGTACAGTACTGTACATAATTATGAACGACATGTACCACCTCCGTTTCACTTTTCGGCGAGCCAGGTGTGATTCGAATAGGGAACTCCCTTCTAATCTCGGAGTGATCTCGTAAATCTAGGCAACCGGGTCAGAAGAAATCAATAACGAACGCGGGTGGGAAGAGTAACGAAGCACGCGAATCCTTGCCAGCCTACGCATGGAACCCGTCGCGGACACGTTCCAGTCATCGATCGGGAAGAAACGCCCGAGCCGCGGGAGCGTGGGTTCTCGGGCTGCAGTGGGCGAGGGAAGCAGATCGAATAGGTCCGGAAAAGGCGATCGGTTCCTGTCGCCAGAGACGCCGCATCAATAGCCTATTGCTCGAAGGACGGAAGACCTTCCCAATCGACATACTCGTACAGCTGCCGCTGGAATGGGCAAACAACTCCCAGAGCCATGGCGACACTTCATTCTCCCACGCAGTGAATCGTGTTTTGTACAAACGAAATTGCGAAGGAAATTAGGGAAACAAGTCGGATGACTTTCACGTACAACTAACTAACTCGAGATGACACAAAAGCATTGAATGAAGGAAAGGGCTCTCTTCCTGAACATCCTCATTGATAAAGCGCAAATATTCAGCTCGTTTCCGTTTGAAACATCGACAGATGCATAAAAAGTGCCTAGACATGAACATAAACTTATTCGTAATCCGTAAAAAAACGGTATTAATAATATTCGTTAATATATTTCACTGAAAAAGAAAATCGAAGGGGAAATTAAGAAGATCCTGTCTCAGGCTGTAGTAGTGTAGACATTAGCGCTGAACTAGTAATTTCTATGGGATTAGAGTGAAACAAATACGATGTGTTGGTCAGAAGTGTTACCAGTAACTTGAAGTACAGTAATCGGTGCATCAAAAATCCTACTAAAAACCAGAAGGGTTCAATTTCGAGATTTGACTCTTGATAAATTGGATTTATCATTAGCAAACAACTGATTTCCCGCAAAATGAAAGGGTTGAGGAGCCTTCACATTCATTATCATGAAAAATAAAACAAATGGTTATCAAATTTATTGCATCAGAGATACTTGTAAAAGTAAAAGCGAATGGCTACGAAAATTTGCCCATTACAGCAGTCCCCCAGTCAACAAAAATTATATTGGTTAAAGATTGGATTCGATGGTACAATATGATAACAGAGAATTCATTTTCAAACTGAAATGCAATTGCCTGCCTTCTGGCACAAAGAAATGGAGTAATTTTTCCTTCGATTGCTATTGTTGATTTGATCAGTAATCAAATCGTTTTTCTGTTATTGTTTTTTTTTTGCTTTGTATAATGAACACTTGCTTGGAACTGCGCTAGCGAATCACTCAGAACCACACTTTTTACCAGGGACAGTTCTGATACGGCCCCTTTTCCGTAAACGTACTGTACAAGAAAGTAAATAGCTTCTGTTAAAACATTTGTGATAAAGAACGGAAGGCAGCTGAATTACCTGAGGGTTCATAAATAATTTTAAAATTTCAGTCTTTGACTGCAATGAATCAATTAATTTCTTCCACGTATAATTTTCTAAGTAATTTTATTTTGGCTTCTCTTCATCAAATAAGCGTTTTAATACTTTTAACCAAGGGTTGACTCAACTGTACAGTATTTTGTAAGAGGGTGCAGAGTCAAAATGTCTGTCATCTTTTATTCCGTATTTTGAGCAACAATTTGACCACAGGGAATCTCCAAATACTGTACTACTCAGTACAAATTAAATATATCGCCCTATACAATAAGTCAAGCACAAGACTGAAAAAACTCCCGAATCCGCTCTCGCACGGGTGACACGTAGCTAAACAATACTACAAACTGACTCCATATACAGTACTGTCCGGTATTTATGTTTCAAGGATTAGTAAATGAAATGAGAATTCCACGTCAATAGGAGCTTGAAACATCAGCAAATCATGCAGACTGCTTCTAAGCGTTTGATGATTCGAGAAAAAAATTGATTCAAAAACCATTGACAACTTTTGCTACCTTTTCATTCATGTTAAACAAAAGATCAAACGAAGTCATGGAACTCTCTCATGTGACATACTTGAGCACATGTGCAACCCAGTCTGTAAATAATTCACGGACTAAATGCTCGAAGAATTGGCAACTGTATCGAAGGCATCTACGGAATCCAGAGTTGAATTTATCTACGAAATAATCAGGATACTTGAAGATTTAAGGGCAATCAGGCAAGAATGCATGAACTCCGGAATCAAAATGCAGCCATATATTTTTCGATGAGCGAAGTTGATCGTCGATACGATTTCAATCATTATTCGGAAGTTACCCGTTGGTGCAGAAGAACAAAAGGCAATGACAGGGTCAAGCACTCGACAAGGAAGTCAATTTTCCTCACGGCGGCACGCGTCAAAAGAGTGAAAGGAAGAGAACGGGAGAAAAACAAGTAGGGAAACATGGTGATCGTGATCGGAAAATTCGAAGGAGCAACTTCAGTCCGTGATTATTCTTCGACAGGTGAAATGCCACGGACGTATTTTCGTTGTATATCCCGGTGGAGACAATAGAGAGGTAGAACGTCAGCACTTGACCCGCATCCCTAGGTTAAGCACAATGCACGCCCATCAAGCTTCCTCGCACTTCCTTCCGTCACGCGAGCTTCTCGCCGCTGTCGCCCTGGCCCAGCAAACAGTATCGCGTAACGCCAACTTGGACACATGGAACGCCACACGCAACGAATCGAGAAGAACCGGAAAGGTTCCGCGTTGTGTAATGGTCCTTCATGCGAACAAAACAAAAACTTGGGCACTGACGTAACTCGACCCGCCCCCGCAGACGTTCGATCATCCCGGAATTTTCTCGTCGCCCACGGTGGCTCCCTAATGCGACGATCGCCTTTTTTCTTTGGAAACGACTCGGGTCGACGTCGGGTGCGGGCGACCTCGCACTTCGGGTTTGCCGACGCCCAGGCAGCCTTGAGGCGCCCATTGCGGCGTCCACGTGGATAACGAAAGAACAACCGCGTCCGCGGTTTGTTCCCAACCACCCCACATGTTGCATCGTTCCTCTTTTGCGCGACCGATTTTGCACACTTCACCTCATTCGTCCCTCGATGCGTACCGCAATCGCGGAAAGTTTCCCGAATACCCTTCGAAAGCCGTTTGTGAAATCGGAGGATGAATTTTTTCGACACTTTACAGTCAAGAACACGATCTTATCAAATATTCAGTTTGGAAGGGACCGTAATGCACGAATACGAACCGTTAAATCTTCTGAGAACTTCGAAGTCAACAAAAGTTTGACTGCACCGTATTTCCAAAACAGGCTTTAAAACTTTAGTCAGGAAAAAATGCCAATACAACTTCAACATCCTCCGTGGTCAGGCATTTTGGACGTTGAGCAGACCGAAAAAGCCAAATGATTACGCATCCTGTAAATGGTGATTGCCCAGTTCCTTAATGTTCAACAGCGAATCGAAAGTTATCCATGATAAATATATGAAACAAGGCTGAACTTCTCACGTCGGCAACACTTCAACGACGAAAAAGCTGAAAACTTCATCACTTTTCTATCATTACCATCAATATCGAGGCATACTTTACTCGACGAAAGGCACTTCCAACGTTTCTATGTCGGACGGCCATATTTTCAAAGAAAGGGCAAACGGAGCGGTTTACAGCATCAAAAGAGTGTTCAAAGCTACTCAGCCAGTTCCCATTTCAATTCAAGATGTACGAATGAGTTTTCAGCGAAGATCTTCATGAAGTCTAAGCCCTTCATGAGTTGTGATTCTCACGGATTCGCTTGATGTGAAGCTTAATAAAAATCTAATCCGCTGCAAGGTTATTTCGACCGGATCGCAGATTACGGGACCGAGATTTACACGGAATCCGTAGAATCATTCTAGAATAAACGCGGAAAAATTGTCGCGTCATGCGCTAGCTTTCATGATGCGACAAACTCAGGGGAGGCGTGAATAACAGTGATAACCAGAGTCGCTTACAAGATTATCGATAGCTGTCTTTGAGGCTGTTGCAGTACATTACATGGAACGCGGTATCTTGGTGAAGCTGTTAGGAAACGCAAGGTTTTCGAGTTCGAAACAAGCTCCCCGTGATTTCCTTATTTGGTGAGCATGCCATGAGTCGAGGACAAGAGCTACGTCCGACAAGGGCGGGAACGCATTTCACGCCAGAATTACAATTACAGCTGGGAAAGAGACAGTGTTTCTCAACTCGGATTGATTAGTCATGCTCTCTCATCAGCGCTGCACAATCTCATGCTTTCGCAGCAAGATTCGGACACCAGATCTCCGGGCAAGGGCTGGATTATTACAAGACGCGACGATAAATACTGCGGAGCGCG